CTCGGCTCACCGCAACCTCCGCCTCCCGAGTTCAAGCGATTCTCCTGCCTTAGCCTCCCGAGTAGCTGGGATTACAAGCATGCGCCACCATGCCCGGCTAATTTTGTATCTTTAGTAGAGACGGGGTTTCTTCATGTTGGTCAGACTGGTCTCAAACTCCCAACTTCAGGTGATCTGCCCGCCTCGGCCTCCCAAAGTGCTGGGATTATAGGCGTGAGCCACTGTGCCCGGCCCCAATCAACTCTTTAATAAGAATGTGGTGGCCGGGCATGGTGGCTCATGTGTGTAATCCCAGCACTTTGGGAGGCCGAGGTGTGTCCACCTGAGGTCAGGAGTTCACCTGAGGTCAGGAGTTCAAGACCAGCCTGGCCAACATGGTGAAACCCCTGTCTCTATCAAAAATAGAAAAATTAGCTGGGCATGGTGGAAGGCACCTGTAATCCCAGCTACTCAGGAGGCTGAGACAGGAGAATCACTTGAACCCAGAAGGTGGAGGTGGCAGTGAGCCGAGATTGCACCACTGCACTCCAGCCTGGACAACAGAGCTAGACTCTGTCTCAAAAAAATAAATAAATAAAAGTAATGATTACCCGAGTGTGGTGGTGTGCACCTGTGGTCCCAGCTACTTGGGAGACTAAGGTAGGAGCCTCTTTTGGGTCTGGGAGGTCGAGGCTGTAGTGAGCCATGATTGCACCATGGCACTGGGTGGTGGCGTGAGACCCGGTCTTCAAAATAAAAATAATGTTTGGGGGCTGGGCAAAGTGATTCTCACCTGTAATCTTAGCACTATGGGAGATTGGGGAAGGCAGATCGCTGGAGCCCAGATGTTCAAGACCACTCTGCACAGCACGCAAAACCCTCTCTACCAAAAAAAAAAAAAAAAAAAATTAGCCGGGCATGGTTGCATGCACCTGTAGTCCCAGCTACTCAGGAGGTTGAGGTGGGAGGATTCCTTGAGCCCAGGAAGTGGAGGTTGCAGTGAGCTATGATTGCACCACTGCATTCCAGCCTGGGTGACAGAGCCAGACTCTGTGTCCAAAAAAGAAAAAGTTGGAGTGCTTTAGTCCTTAGGAGTAGTCCTAGGGAAACAGAATCTCTCCCTCTGACTTTCTGTCCTCCTTTCCCTGCCCAAGGCAGACTCTAATCTGATTGGGAGACAAAGACCTCATTCCAGAGGGTCATGCCGCATACCCTAGAGGAAGGAAAGCTGCACAGAGAGACCAAGAGGAATCTGGACAGGCCCTGCTGGGTTCCCCAGTCTGTTAATACGAGATCTTATCAATTTTTGGCCCAATCACATTTCTTCATGATTGTGAATCATGCCTGTTTAATGAAGCCACCATTAAAACCCAAAAGAAGGCCTGGCATAGTGGCTCACACCTGTAATCCCAGCACTTTGGGAGGCCAAGGTGGGCGAATCACCTGAGGTCAGGAGTTTGAGACCAACCTGGCCAACATGGTGAAACCCCGTCTCTGCTAAAAATACAAAATTAGCTGGGCGCAGTGTGCGTACCTGTAATCCCAGCTACTTGGGAGGCTGAGGCAGGAGAATCTCTTGAACCCACGAGGTGGAGGTTGCAGTGAGCCGATATTGTGCCACTTCACTATAGCCTGAGTGACAGAGTAAGACCCTGTTTCAAAAAAAAAGAAAAAAAATCTTCTTAGGCTGGATGTGGTGGCTCACACCTGTAATCCCAGCACTTCGGGAGGCCAAGGTAGGCGGATCACCTGAGGTCAGGAGTTCAAGACCACCCTGGCCAACATGGTGAAACCCTGTCTCTACTAAAAATACAAAAATTAGCGAAGCATGGTGGTGGGTGCCTGTAATCCCAGCTACTTGGGAGGCTGAGGCAGGAGAATTGCTTGGACTCTGGAGGCGGAGGCTGCAGTGAGATGAGATTGCACCATTGCACCCCAGTGGGTGACAGAGCAAGACTCCATCTCAAAACTAACAATAATAATAATAATTAAAAAATAAAAATACAGGCCTGGCACGGTGACTCACTCCTGTAATCCCAACATTTTGGGAGGCCAAGGCAGGCAGATCACCTGAGGTCAGGAGTTTGAGACCAGCCTGGCCAACATGGTGAAACCTCATCTCTACTAAAAATACAAAAATTAGTTGGGTGTGGTGGCACACGCCTGTAATCCCAGCTACTCTGGAGGCTGAGGCAGAAGAATCTCTTGAACCCAGGAGGTGGAGGTTGCAGTGAGCCAAGATCGCTCCACTGCACTCCAGCCTGGGCAACAGAGTGAGACTCCATCTCAAAAAAGAATAAATAAATAAACAAATAATAAATACAAATACAAAAATTAAGCAGGTGTGATGGCATGCACCTGTAGTCCCAGCTACTCAGGAGGCTGAGGAGTGAGAATCACTTGAACCTGGGAGGCAGAGCTTGCAGTGAGCTGACATAGTGCCCCTGCACTCCAGCCTGGGTGACACAGCAAGACTTTGTCTCAAACAACAACAACAAAAATCCACTCAGCCACCCACCCACCCACGCACCCATCCATCCAACCATCCACCCATCCATCCACCTATTCATCCATCCACCCACCCACTAGCCCACCCATCCATCTACCCACCCACCCATCCACCCTCCCACCCATTCATCCATCCATTCAACAACATACTGAGTATATACTGTATGCCATTTTGGCAAGGAGCAGGAGTGGAGGACAAAGTCGTAGGCAGGAAAAGGATTGTGGAAAAGTGGTCCAGGCAGATGTCAGGACAAAGGGAAGCGTTTGCTCAAGTTTGTCATATGGAGGAGCAGAGAGGACGCTGGCAGGGCAGGTGGGAATGGAGGAAGCTGGGTTTGCTGGGTTGATAAGGGCCGGATCAGACATAATTTTACAGAAGGATTCATTGAGCAACTAGGGTCTATACCACATGTGTTCTTTTCTTTTCCCCTAGACTACTCAGCAGAATTTATTTATTTTTTTTAGAGACGGAGTCTTGCTCTGTTGCCCAGGTTGTAGTGCAATGGCATCATCTGAGCTCCCTGTAGCCGCAACTCCTGGACTCAAGCGATTCTCCTGCCTCAGCCTCCTGAGTAGCTGAGATTACAGGCATGTAACACCACACTTGGCTAATTTTTTTTTTTTTTTTTTTTTTTTTTTTTTTTAGTATTTTTAGTGGAGACGGTGTTTTGCCATGTTGGCCAGGCTGGCCTTGAACTCCTGATCTCAGATGATCTGCCCACCTTGGCCTCCCAAAGTGCTGGGATTACAGGCATGAGCCACTGCCTCTGGCCACAGCTTGTAGAACTTCTTTGTCACTCCACAGAGCTCAGCACAATTTAAGCCACAGCGAGGGTGCCCAGCAGGCCTTTATTTCCTATGCAGCATAAAGTTCTGCTCCTCGGGAGTAAATCTGCGAATCAGAGCCTTCCTCGGGAAGACACCTCTACAGATGACCCAGGGGAACAAGTACAAGCTGTGCGTTCCAGCACCCAGGATTTCTTGTTTCATGTCATTTTAAAGAACTCATGGGTTCTGGTATAGTGTGGAGTCCTAGGTTTATTCCCAGCCTTGGCCTCAGTTGTCAAGCCAGCTGTTCCTTCTCACTTGGGGGATTCAGCCCCTTCCCATTTTACCCACCAACTCCTAATCATCTCCCCTCCTCTACTCAGCCATCTTTTTCTGGACACTATTCCTGAATAACCTAGTTTGGAGCAGTCCCCTCGTGCTAGTCTCTAAAGCTTCCTGTTCTTATCACAATTTTTTTTCTTTTCTTTTTTTTTTTTGAGATGGGAGTTTCACTCTTGTTGCCCAGGCTGAAGTGCAATGGCGCGATCTCAGCTCACCGCAGCCTCTGCCTCCCAGGTTCAAGCAATTCTCCTGCCTCAGCCTCCCGAGTAGCTGGGATTACAGGCATGCGCCAACACACCCGACTAATTTTGTATTTTTAGTAGAGACAGGGTTTCTCCATGTTGGTCAGGCTGGTCTTAAACTCCTGACCTCAGGTGATCCTTCCACCTCGGCCTCCCAGAGTGCTGGGATTACAGGTGTGAGCCACTGCGCCTGGCCCAATTGTATAGTCTTTTTTTCTTTTTTTTTTTCTTGGAGACTGAGACCTACTCTGTTGCCCAGGCTGGAGTGCAGTGGTATGATCTCAGCTCACTATAACCTCTGCCTCCCAGGTTCAAGTGATTCTCCTATCTCAGCCTCCCAAGTAGCTGGGATTACAGGCGCATGCCACCATGCCCCGCTAATCTGTGTATTTTTAGCAGAGATGGGGTTTCACCATGTTGGCCAGGCTGGTCTTGAACTTCTGACCTCGGGTGATCCGCCCGCCTTGGCCTCCCAAAAGGCTGGGATTACAGGTGTGAGCCAACAGGCCCGGCTCCAAAGTGTACTCTTAACCCAAGGCAGGCACATACTGCTGCTGTCCATGATGGTGTGAGGTAATAGGGAGTGGTGGGGACCGTGGAGGCAATATGGCCACAGGATGGATGGCTTCACTTGGCTGCAGCAGGAGACTGGTTCTATGACAGTGTGGGCCCAGTGCTTCCAGAACTCTCATATTTTCTTTTCGTTTCGTTTTTTGTTTTCTTTCGTTCTTTTTTTTTTTTTTTGGAGATTTGCTCTATTTTTTTGAGTCTTGCTCTATTGCCAGGCTGGAGTGCAGTGGCGCGATCTCGGCTCATTGCAACCTCTGCCTCCTGGGTTCAAGCAATTCTCCTGTTTCAGCCTCCCAAGTAGCTGAGACTACAGGCGTGTGCCACCACATCCAGCTAATTTTTGTATTTTTAGTAAAGACAGGGTTTCACCACGTTGGACAGGATAGTCTCGATCTCTCGAGCTCGTAATCTGCCCGCCTCAGCCTCCCAAAGTGCTGGGATTACAGGCGTGAGCCACCGCGCCCGGCCACACTCTCATATTTTCAAAGGAAGCCAGAAACCTGAACTTTTAAAGTGAAGTGCCCCCCACCGCAACATTGAAGTACTGACAAATAATTTTTAGAAACAATGTAGGCCAAACAAAACACATAGGTGTTTTGAGTTTGTAGGCGGCCTGTGGTTTAATACCTTTCTCTCCCATTTAATTCAGCTCCACGGGGCACATGGCATCTCCCTCTGCTCATCACAATGTCTGCATCAAACAAATGAAAAACAAAAACATGATGGGCTCTCCCAGCAGAGCTCCAGGGTTGGAAAGAGCCCCCTGGCAGGGAATTGGCACCCCGTCATGCCCATCCTCTCTCTCTCACTGCCTGCTGGAAAGGCCCCCATCTCCCTTTGAGTCCTCCTCCTGGGGGACCCCTGTGAGCCCCATTAACCTCTGTCCTGAAATCATCACAATGGCCAGGGTGGCCTCAGCTCAGGGCCTCTGTGACATCACCAAGGGCCTGGCACCAGGTGCCCAGTCTCCCAGTTGCGAGGGCAAGCAAACCCATCATGAGCATCTCCCTTCCCCATCTCTGCTCACCATGTGGACGCTGAAATGGTTCCTGGTCCTGCTTCTGTGCCTCACCTGCAGCTATGCCTCTATGTTCTCTTCTCGGAGAGAGAAAACTAGCGAACCCCAGGGGAAGGTGCCGTGCGGAGGGCACTTTCGGATTCGGCAGAATCTACCAGAGTACGCCCAAGGCTGGCTTGGGAGCAAATGGCTCTGGTTTTTGTTTGTTGTTGTGCTGTTTGTGATACTGAAGTATCAAAGAGACAGTGAGAAGAATAAGGTAAGGATGGTTCCGTGTTTCTACACCATATTGATTCAATCTCAGGAGTCTCAGGGAAACGGATGTTCTAGTGAGTCTAGGTGGCACCGCTGGGTATAATGAACCGACCTCATGGTCCTGGGCAAAGTTGGCAATCCTGATGTATCCTTATGAAGACAATAGTCCCCAGATCCACAGATACTGGGACAAACAGTGGAAGATGACCTCTAGCTTATTGGCTCAGAGTTCCTCTTGTTAGATGGATTTTTTCAAATGTAGGATAGATTCAAGAACTCAGCCGGGCGTGGTGGTTCATGCCTGTAATCCCATCACTTCGGGAGGCCAGGGCAGGTGGATTGCCTGAGGTCGGGAGTTTGAGACCAGCCTGGCCAACATGGTGAAACCTCGTCTCTACTAAAAGTATAAAAATTAGCCAGGTGTGGTTGCGTGCGCCTGTAATCCCTGCTACTCGGGAGGCTGAGGCAGGAGAATGGCTTGAACCCTGGAGGCAGAGGTTGTGGTGAGCCGAGATCATACTACTGCACTTCAGCCTAGGCAACTAAGTGAGACACTGTCTCAAAAAAAAGAAAAAAAGAACTTATGGTGTGTTTTAGAAGGTCAAAATTATTCACAGGGCCAGATTCACTGTTCCCCCTTGCTTTTTACATTTTTCCTAGTGTTTGACTTACTGCAAATTCCTGAGCTAAATGGAAATGGTATCATCCCAACAAAATATGAGACTTCTGTAAGGAGATAAAGGTGTAGGCCAGGCACAGTGGCTCATGCCTGTAATCTCAGAACTTTGGAAGGTCTGGGGCAGATGGATCACTTGAGGTCAGGAGTTTGAGACCAGCCTGGCCAACATGGTGAAACCTCGTCTTTACTGAAAATACAGAAATTAGTCCAGGTGCGGTGGCTCACACCTGTAAGCCTAGCACTTTGGGAGGCTGAGGCGGGTGAATCACGAAGTCAGGAGTTCAAGACCAGCTGGGCAACATGGTGAAACCCTGTCTCTACTAAAAATACAAAAACTTAGCTGGGTGTAGTGGCAGGCGCCTGTAATCCCAGCTACTCGGGAGGCTGAGGCAGGAGACTCACTTGAACCCTGGAGGCAGAGGTGGCAGCGAGCCGAGATGGAGCCACTGCACTCCAGCCCAGGTGACAGAGTGAGACTCTGTCTCAAAAAAAAAAAAAAAAAAAAAAGGCCGGGCACGGTGGCTCACGCCTATAATCCCAGCACTTTGGGAGGCCGAGGTGGAAGGATCACCTGAGGTCAGGAGTTTAAGACCAGCCTGACCAACATGGAGAAACCCCGTCTCTACTAAAAATACAAAATTAGTCGGGCGTGTTGGCGCGTGCCTGTAATCCCAGCTATTCGGGAGGCTGAGGCAGGAGAATTGCCTGAACCCAGGAGGCAGAGGTTGTGGTGAGCCGAAATCGCGCTATTGCACTCCAGCCTGGGCAACAAGAGCAAAACTCCGTCTCCAAAAAAAAAAATACAGAAATTAGCCAGGTGTGGTGGCACACACCTGTAATCCCAAGCTACTCGGGAGACTGAGGCAGGAGAATCACTTGAATCTGGGAGGCAGAGGTTTCTGTGAGCTGAGATCGTGCCACTGCACTCCAGCGTGGGTAAGTGAGACTCTGTCTCAAAAAAGAAAAGAAATTAACCGGTATGATGGTGGGCACCTGTAGTTCCAGCTACTTGGGAGGCTGAGGCATAAGAGTTGCTTGAACCCGGGCCAGGGGTAGTGGCTCATGCCTGTAATCCCAGTACTTTGGGAGGCCGAGGCGGGTGGATCACTTGAGGTCAGGAGTTCAAGACCAGCCTGGTCAACATGATGAAACCCCGTCTCTACAAAAATACAAAAATTAGCTGGGCATGATGGCAGGTGCCTGTAATCCCAGCTACTTGGGAGGCTGAGGCAGGAGAATTGCTGGAACCTGGGAGGCAGAGGTTGCAGTGAACTGAGATCATGCCACTGCACTCCAGCCTGGGTGACAGAGGAAGACTCCGTCTCACAAAAAAAAAATAATAATAATAATTGCTTGAACCCAGGAAGCGGAGGTTGCAGTGAGCCAAGATCATGCCAGCCTGGGTGACAGAGTGAAACTATGTCTCAAAAAAACAAACAAAAACAAGAGATAAAGGTGTGAAGTAGTAACAGCTGGGCCTCAAAGTGACCATAAACAACTCTTTCAAGCAGAAAGAGAAAGGGAAAGAAAGCGTGTTCTCCCCTAGAAAGACCCAGCATTTCATGATCCTGTGCCCAAACTGGTTAGAGGAGGGATTGGCAAACTTTTTCTGTAAAGGGCCAGAGAGTGCATATTTACAGCTCAGCTTTATGGGCAGTATGGTCTTCCTTGCAACTACTGAAGTCTGCTGTTGTAACATGAGGCAGCCTTAAACAATATACAGATGAGTGAGCATGAACGTATGCCAATAAAACTTTATTTACAAAAGCAGGCGGAGGGCCAAATTTGGCCATAGTCTGCCGATGCCTGCACTCAAGCAATGCTAGAACCATCTTTTCTTAAATGAGCCCAACTCTCTTGGAACTGTGTCAAAACCAGCAAAGTCCATGATATTATTGACCTTGAATATCTTTCTCGACAGGAGCAGAGTCCTCCTAGCCTTCGATGCTTCCCATTTCGCACTCCACTAAAGAAAAATCAAAATGCTTCTTTTTTCAAAGACTGTACATTCAATACCTTACACGAACTCGACGTGGAGCTTGTGAGATTTATGTCCAAAGTGCGGAGTCTTAAAGGTGCCATGGCAACAGGCAATATCAGTAACCTCAAGCTTCAAAGGTCAGAGATGCCTGCAGATCCATACCATGTCACGGTCTATGACATATGGGGAGAAGAAAGCTCTAGCTGAATGGATTTGTGCGTCAAAGTAGGAGAGAAAAAAGTTGAGTGTTGACAAACTGTATGCAAATCAATAAAAGTATTCTGAAGAAAAGAACTTCCACGTTTGAGATCTTGCTTCTTTTCTCTTTTTCACTAGAAGAAAAAGTGAATGTGAGACCAGCAGCCATAGCAGTGATGGTTTTGTTTTTGCCCCTCTCACGTCCTCTAGAGCTGTGGGTGGTGAGAAGAGCACCGAAAGCTACATAATAGTATGTGATGAGCTCGTGCTTCCGTGCAATGGCGGCGGGTGGATGACGGAGCTGGGGAAATCTGGGATAAGATGCTGACGTCGTTTCCATACAAACTCTTGTTCTCTATAGTATCTATCTGTGCAAGATACAGAACTGCTTTTTATCTTTGATATATTACAAAAGACGGCTTTAATGATAGTTTTTAAATGGTAAAATGATTCAATTAGGAGGGGTGTATTCTAGAGTCATCTGATTCTCTCACAAGAGTCCTTTCACTCATTCCGTTTCAAAGGTTCCATGTATTGACTTTTCCTTCTTCCAAACTAGCAGTTACATTTGTCAATAGTTGGATTAAGGAAAAGGGAGAGGCCGGGTACGGTAGCTAACACCTATAATCTTAGCACTTTGGGAAGCCAAGGCGGGAGGATTGCTTGAGTCCGGGAGTTTGAAACCACCCTGGGCAACATAGTGAGATTCCTTCTCTATTATTTTTAAATTAGAAAAATAAGGGAAAAACAAATCGTGCTTTCTATATCATTGGGGTTTTGGATACAGATGTGCTAACCAGGGGCTCCCCAATCAGTTGATACGTAGTTTATCATACTTATTTAAAATGTGGATATTTTGCATGTTAGTGTGGCTGACTCTGCACATACTTACGGCTGTAAGGCCCCTACTGACCCCGAGCCCATTTTTCCTCATTTAAAAGGCCAACCTAAGGCCGGGTGTGGTGGCTCACGCCTGTAATCCCAGCACTTTGGGAGGCTGAGGCGGGCAGATCACACAGTCAAGAGATCGCGACCATCCTGGCCAACATGGTGAAACCCCATCTTTGCTTAAAATACAAAAATTAGTTGGGTGTGGTGGTGAGTGCCTGTAGTTTCAGCTACTTGGGAGGCTGAGGCAGGAGAATGGCTTGAACCCCGGAGGCGGAGGTTGCAGTAAGCTGAGATTGCGCCACTGCACTCCAGCCTGGCAACAGAGTAAGACTCCATCTCAAAAAAATAATAAATAAATAAATAAATAAATAAATAAATAAAGGCCAACCTGATGGTTTCGTAGACACACCTGTGCATGTCTGGAGAGAACAGTTAGCTGTGGGATCCTTTGTTTCATTTCAGTCGAAACTTCTGGTGCCTGACAGAGAAGTCCTAAATCTCTGCCACCTTCCTTGCCAACCACAAAGTCCACTCCCATTATTTGCACAAGGCTTTCAGGATCCTCCCTACACAGATGATTTTCTCCATGTGTAGGAGGTGGACCTCTTGTAAAAGGTCCTTGAACATTTTGCTTTTTGTCTTAACTCTCAGCTTTCGATATAGCGGAAATAGAAGGAGCCAAGATTACTTCCTTTGCCTTCCAGATTATTTATGAGTGTTTTCAAGCAAACTGGAGTATGTGAGTTATTGTCACAGCCCACTCTGAAGAAATCCAGATAAGAAAAAACATTGGTTGTAACCAGTAATCTCAAGTTGGGGCAGGTTTTAGATTGTCTTCATTTAGCCAGTAGATACTTAGATCTGCGGCCAGCAAGCTACAGCTCACGGGCCAAATTTGGCCACCTGCCTATATTTGCATGGCCTTGTGAACTAATAATGATTTTTATATTTTTTCATGGTTAAAAATATCAGGCAGAGCGTGGTGGTGTGCACCTGTAGTAGCAGCTACTCTGGAGGATGAGGCAGGAGGATTGCTTGAGCCCAGGAGTCTGAGTTCAGCCTGAGCAACATAGTGAGACCCTGTAGCTATAAATATGTATATATGGCTATATATATATATATATATATATGATGACATGAAAATTACATAAAATCCAAATTTTAGCACCTATGATGTTTTATTGGAACACAACCACACTCATTCATTTACATGTTATCTATGGCTGCTTTCATGCTACAAAATTTCCACATTGTCTATGGCTCTAGCTTTTGTGCTTACAATGGCAGGCTTGAATTACTGCAACAGAAACCAACATGGCCCACAAATATTTACTAACTGGCCCTTTACAGAACAAGTTTGCCAACCCCTAGTTTACGCTAATCTCATATGTTAACAAGCAGAAGGTGGGTGCAGTGGCTCACATTTGGAATCCCAGCACTTTGGGAGGCTGAGGTGGGTGGATCACTTGAGGTCAGGAGTTCGAGACCAGCCCAGCCAACATGGTGAAACCCCGTCTCTACTAAAAATACACAATTAGTTAGGCAGGCAGGGTGGTGGGTGCCTGTAATCCCAGCTACTTGGGAGGTTGAGGCAGGAGAAACGCTTGAACCCGGGAGGTGGAGGTTGCAGTGAGCCGAGATTGCACCATTGCACTCCAGCCTGGGCAAGAGAGCGAGACTCCATCTCAAAACGAAACAAAACAAAAACCAGGAAATGTATTCATTAGTAGATATATTCATCTTCACAAACATATTTGTCTGGAGGACAAAAATGTAATTTTATAAATTTTTTTTTGTATTTTTATTTTTTGAGACAGGGTCTCCCTCTGCCACTCAGTTTGGAGTGCAGTGGCATGATAATGGCGCACTGCAGCCTCATCCTCCCAGGCTTAAGCGATCCTCCCACCTCAGCCTTTCCTTTTTTTTTTTTTTTTTTTTTGAGACAAAGTCTTGCTCTTGTTGCCCAGACTGGAGTGCAGTGGTGTGATCTCGGCTCACTGCAACCTCTGCCTCCTGAGTTCAAGCGATTCTCCTGCCTCAGCCTGCTAAGTAGCTGGGATTACAGGCACCCACCACCACGCCTGGCTAATTTTTGTATTTTCAGTAGAGTCGGGGTTTCGCCATGTTGCCCAGCCTGGTCTCTAACTCCTGACCTCAGGTGATCCGCCTGCCTCAGCCTCCTAAAGTGCTGGAATTACAGGGGTGAGCCACCGCGCCTGGCCCCACCTCATCCTTTCTAGTTGCTGGGACCACAGGCATGCACCACCACACCAGGCTAATATTTTTAAGATATTTTTTATAGAGTCTGTTGCCCAGGCTGGTCTTGAATTCCCAAGCTCAAGTGATCCTCCTGCTCAGTCTCCCAAAGTGCTGGGATTACAGGTGTGAGCTCCCACACCCAGCCTATAAACTGTATTTTTGTGTATAGCTCCATCCAGGGCACTACCAGCTAAAGATGGGGATCCTCCAAAAGGGGAAATTGCCAAAACTCCTTAGAGCAAGTGCACCAAGGACGTAAATTAGAACAAAATCTGCTGTACATTTGGATTTCACAATTCCTCAAAAATGGTATCCCCCATGTCTTTGACCTAACTTAAGACACACTTTGCAGACCATAGTTTTGCCTAGAAAATAGTGTTTTCTCGATCCAGTCAATTTCATGCAGTATTTTCACGTTAAAATGCATTAGTTGTCATTTTTGGAGCCATAACTTAAAGTTACTCAACTCTGTTGTTACAGCATAAACTCAAATTCTATTACCACACCCTGTGGTTTAAAAAGAGAAATTGAGGCCTGGCACGGTGTCTCAAGCCTGTAATCCCAGCACTTTGGGAGACCAAGGCAGGAGTATCCCTTGAGTCTAGGAGTTCAAGACACGCCTGGGCAACATGGTGATACTGTAACTCTACAAAAAATATACAGACTAGTCTGGATAATGGAGCCTTGGGAGAAAAGGTTAGAAGAAAAAGAAAAACAAAACGAAAAACAAGCAAACAAAAAAAAGTGGTCGAGCATGGGGGTGCGTGCCTGTGGTCTCAGCTACTAGGGAGGCTGAGGTAGGAGGATCACTTGAGCCCGGGAAGTCGAGGCTGCAGTGAGCTGTGATATCACCACTGCAGTCCAGGCTGGGTGACAGAGTGAGACCCTGTCTCAAATAAATAAATAAATAAATAAGACCAGGTGCGGTGGCTCATGCCTGTAATCCCAACACTTCGGGAGGCAGAGGTGGGTGGATCACCTGAGGTCAGGAGTTCAAGATCAGCCTGGCCAACATGATGAAACCCTGTCTCTACTAAAAATCCAAAAATTAGCTGAGCATGGTGGTGTGCATCTGTAGTCCCAGCTTCTCAGGAGGCTGAGCCAGGGGAATCGCTTGACCAGGGAGGTGGAGGTTGCAGCAAGTCGAGATAATGTCACTGTCCTCCAACCTGAGCAACAGAGTGAGACTCCATCTCAAAAATAAATAAATAAATAAATAAGAGAAAAGGAAATGAAAAACAAAAAAGAGAAGTTGATACGTAAATGATAACCGCTGATCACTGCAGTTGCCTAAACCCTAAAGTGTTTATCAGAGCAGGCTGACAGCTCAGACTGTCTGCAGCATGCATTCCCTTGCAGCTGTAGGACTCATGGCAGTTTGCATCTTCAAAACCAATAAGGAGAGTAAGATTCTAGAGCGAGTCACTAACACAACAGGGACCTCACAATGTGATGTCATTGTGGGAGCCATGGATATAAGCTCTGCCATGCTCTACTGGGTAGAAACAACACACTCAAGGGTGTGAATACCAGGAATGAGACCCAGCTTCAAAGAGGCTGCTCCAGCACGAGGTGATGGAGGCATCGCGCTGGTGCTAACAAAACACTGAGCATTAGACAGGGGACATGGCCACTGGACAGGGCCTTGTTCATGAACCTGGATGCAGGTGATGGGCTAAATTCTAAGATGGCCCTAAGGGGCACTCACCTTTTGGTTTTTTGGGGTTTTTTGTTTGTTTGTTTGTTTTTGTTTTTGAGACGGAGTTTCTCTCTTGTTGCCCAGGCTGGAGTGCAATGGCGCAATCTCGGCTCACCACAACCTCCTCCTCCCAGGTTCAAGCAATTCTCCTGCCTCAGGCCTCAGAGTAGCTGGAATTACAGGCATGCGCCACCACACCTGGCTAATTTTGTATTTTTAGTAGAGACAGGGTTTCTCCATTTTGGTCAGGCTGGTCTCAAACTCCCGACCTCAGATGATCTGCCCACCTCGGCCTCCCAAATTGCTGGGATTACAGGCGTGAGCCACCGTCCCCTGCTGGCACTCACCTTTTGTAATCTTTCCCTTGAGTGTGGTGGGAGCTGTGAAGATGATGACATTGTCTTACATAAGACCCCATAGTAGCCACGAGACTTCCCTGGTGGCCTGAAGATGGAAGCTGCGGTATTGTGAGACCATGGGGGTCC